GACTTCCCTTTACTGAGCAGCCAAAAAGAACCCAGACCCCAAAAGCCACAATTGATGGTGATTAAGTTTGGCAGAAACAGAGCAGAAAAGCAGTCTAGAATGAGACATACTGTCCTGGCTTTGGCTGGGACAGACACAGACTTTTTTGTGTTTGTGTTCTCCTAGCTCATACCCAGGATCACAAGAAATTTTGTCAAAGAAGGATATATGGAGAAAACAGGACCAAAAGTAAGTGCACACTTGGCAGTATACAAACAAGATCATTCCAGGTAGAGAATATTTGGTAATTCTATGATGTTGCCTAGTACAGGGCTTGCTCAGTGACTACCTGCTTCCTGGGTCCATAGAAGACATTATATTCAAGCCTGCCATGTTCTTTGGGATCATGTTTTATTTTGTGTGGAAAATGAGATCAGGAAGACAAATCCTTGAAGAGTAAGCAAGATGGATTAGCTGGCAGTGGGACATGCAAAGTGCTGTTGCACAACACTATAGATTGCTGTGTCTGCCAAGTGCAGCTCCTGCTAGAACAGAACATCACATGCTGACCCCCCCCTACTTCTCTGTTTCACTTACAGTCACATCTGCTTAGGGCAGCAAAGTGCCATTGAGAAAATTTCTCCACACTGAAGACAATGGTTTGGTTTGGTTTATTGTGGGAAAGTATTTGGGCCAGTGCTCCTTGGAAGAGGAGAGCAGGATTTGGGGCACTGCTGAAGGAGGAGATAAAGGTCTGAGGTCTTGTTTGAACACAGCCACTTCTTACCTTGCTCTGCTCTGAGTGAGCCATGAGCCAAAGTCCCATTATAAAGCTCAGGGGTGCAGTGCTGATACTGAATATGCTGGGGTTTGGCCCAGCTCGTGCCTGTGCCCCAGTACCTCTTCTGCAGGTTCTTGCACAGAGCATGAAAGGTTGTGTGTTTTTCTCCTGAGGCCTCAATTCTGCCCAAACTGAGCCCTAGAAAAGGCCTCTTCAGTTCAGCACAGAGCAGTGAATAGCTCAGGAATGGTCAGATGAGTGTAATGAATGGTATTAATACTTATAGACAAACCCCAGTATTGTGCACCCTGAAATTCTAGGGGCAACCCCCTGACCAAACTGTTGAAGTTGATTGTTCTCTGCAGAGCTTTCAATGCATTTCCTGCAACGTAATCCTGTCAATTTGATCACTGGTAGAACCAAACTTCCCTGCCTGCCCAAGGGATTGTCATTGAATGCAAATGTGTAGTTTGAGCCCAGGGAGAAGAGGGCTGAGGGCACAGCAGTGACTCACCTGAACCAGTCTTGGGGGTGAAGGAAACTGAACTCAAGCTCCAAGTCATTTAAGCAGTCCAGGGATCTGAACAGACCAAACTCCTCTCTGGGACTTGGTCTTCAAAGAACTTCTACCATGTCCTTGCAGCACAAGGAGGCCTTTAAGGGCCGCTGGTTCAGCCTGGATTCTCAAGAAAGGAACCTGATGTACTTTAAAAACCCGCTGGTAAGAGGAGTGTTCTTCACTGTTCCACATCCCCTTTGGGAAGTGGGTGGGGAGGAAGGGTCTGTTCTCATCCAGTTCTTCCAGAGCCTGTGCAAGACTGGAGCAGGCTCGGCCTCAAGAGCCCATCTCCCTTGTCAGTGGATGCCTCTGAGCTGTTTGGAGCTCTGGCCCATCTGGTGGCTGTGAGGAAGATCCAAGTCTTTTAAAAGTAGCTGCTACTGCCTGTAGCATTAATGCCCACTCTCTCCCAGCCCTGGTGCCTGTAACTTTAGGCAAGATGAGCAATATTCCAATAACAGCCCAACATCCTGCCTTCTGGCACTGCTCTGGCCATGGTAATATCCTTCCCTGCTCCTGAATGCCCTACCAACAACCTCTGTTGTGTTTCCTGCTGGTGTCACCAAATCAGTGTCCCCTCCTGCATCCCCAGATCCCATTCCATGTCAGAGGACAGAGCAGTGTCTGCTGGAGCTGTGCTGTCCACTGGTTAATGGCTGTCTTCTGCTTCCTTCTTTTCAGGATGAGTTTGCACGTGGCCAGATTTTTATTGGAAGGAGGGATGAGGGGTATGAAGTGCGACCTGAGCTGCCCAAGGGAATCCGTCTGAAGAAGAGGAAACCAAGCATCATTCTGGTCACGCCAGGGAGAGAGTTTGTGTTCTTATGTGATAACGACGAGAAGCAGAAGGAGTGGATTGAGGCCTTGGATGGAATCATCTCCCAGCACTGATGTCCACAGGGAGGAGCAGAGTCAGGCAGCTACATCCCATCTGGCTCCAGCTCCTGTCCACACAGGGACAGGGTTGTTTTCAGTGGAGTGGGTTGAATGTCTCTTACCCTGGCACAATAAAAAAATACAAGTCAAGTTTGAATTGTGGAGGATGCTGTAATGGAACCACTCTAATGGAATCACACAGATACTCCCAGCTTCTTGCTTTCAGCATTTTACACTGTTTTGCTTTTTTATGAGTGGCAAATCCAACTCGTGAAGACGAAATTTTTCCAAAGCACAACCCCACACGGTGCCCCAGCAAACACATTGTGGGTACAGGATGAACATGTGCTGATTTGTCTTGCCTAAAACCAAATGAAGCTTAATGAGTTTGATTGGTCTGAGCATCTAAAGGCAGGAACTAGTTTTAAAAGAGTTGTCTTCAGTGGCTTGCTTGAGTACACTCGCTGAATGGGGATCAGTTCTCAGTGTTGGGGGTGAGTACTCTTTGTGCAGGAGCTGATGGACACTTGCCCTGACTGATACTTTTTCCTCAAGACCAAGTCTGAGGTCTGGTTCTACCAAGCAGCACGTCATTCAGATATTTAATTCTTTCCAGATAGCCTTAGTTTGCAAATCAAGAGGAAGTCTTGCAGACCAAGTTTCTGGTGAGGCTTCCACCTTTTGCTGACTATTGCCAGCCCGTCTGAGACATTCAGAATAGTTCTCCTCTTCTGCAGAAATGAGGAAGTGCCAATACTTGCAGGATTGAGTGAGATTAATTCTTCTCTTCCCCCCCCCAATAGTGCAAAAGAATTGAATTGGATCATCACTCTGCCTGTCTCAGCCAGCTCATCAGCCAGCTCTGAGCAATCTGCAGCAGTTTTACTCGCTGATATGCTCCTGCTCTCCCCACGCAGCCTGATTCAGTCTGGTTCCCCTGCTGGTTCAGCACATCTGTTAAACGGCCTAATCCTGCAGCTCCCGGAATCAATAGAAAGCCCCCTCTGACTTGTACAAGGAACAATGGCAGTCTTCGTTTGGTTTGACATGTGTTAATTGTTATTTTGAGATGACCTGAGCAGCCCAGGATGACCTCAGAAGGGTTCAGTGCATCCAGTGGCCTGAACTTCCCACGGGCGGGGCTCTGCCGGGCTGGGCTGGGCTGGGCTGTGCCCTTGCTGTCCCGGCTGGGTCAGCAGACTGCCCATGTCAGCGGCTCACTGCTACAAAATCGGGAAATTCACGTTGAAAATGAAACCCTGCCAATAACAAGGACTTTTTTGGACAGTCAGTATGAGTCAAGGCCAGGCCCGGGACAGCTCTGCATCACAGCCCATTCCCACAGTCAACCCCAATCCTGGGAACGAGTCGCAGCAGAGGAAGCGCTGACTGGCGCTGGGCTGATCCCGGGAGCTCTGACGGAGCTGACACCGGAGGAGAGGAGGAGACAGGGCAGAGCCCAGCCCAGCCCAGCCCAGCCCGCTCGCCCCGCTCCCGTCCCGAGGAGGCCTCCCGGGGAAACCGAAAACCGTGGCGGACCCCTGTGCTCCGCCCCGGCCGGGCATCGGCCGCTACCACGAGCTGGAGCGGCTCCTGGCTGCCGTGGAGCTGAAAGGTGCTTCCTTGTGCCTGCAGTTCTTTCCGAGAGCCGGTGCGATTCGCGGCTTGCGCCACAGCCTTCTGCGGCCGCTGATCAGCCCGGTACCAGGGCGCGGGCCGGCCCGCCGGCTGCCCACTCTGCAGGGAGGGCTTCGAGCTCCGCGATCCTGCTGGCTCAAGCGAAGTGGCCGCGCTGGCTTCAGCCTCATCCCGCAGAGCTGAGCGCGGATGAAGCTGGAAAAACCGAGAGATGATCCCCTCTGGAGCTGTTGTCTTCGCGACGGAGCTCGGCGGGGCGGCGACTGGGGAGCAGGTTACGCCCGAGGCAGCGCAGGGCTCCTGCCGGGACAGCTCGGGCACAGCCCGGGGCTCATGCCGTGCACAGCCCGGGGCTCCATCCGTGCGACAGCCGGGGCTCCATCCCTCCACAACCCGGGGCTCCATCCCTGCACAGCCCTGGGCTCCATCCCTGCACAGCCCGGGGCTCCATCCCTCCACAGCCCGGGGCTCCATCCCTCCACAGCCCGGGGCTCCGTCCCGGGACAGCCACGGGCTCCATCCCGCAACAACCCGGAATAGCCCGGGGCTCCATCCCCCTGCAGCCCCCGTACAGCCCGAGGCTCCGTCCCACTCCATCCCCGGCACAGTAACGCAACAAGCACCCTACGCTGAGCAGATGGGTTTAACTAAAACAGTGCTTGGGGTTCTTTGGTGTGTCTGACACACTGAGGGCTGCACAGCTGAAGTAGAAGAGCCAATATCTGTACGTATTCAGCTGAGGTACGGTGGTAATAAGCGTTCTTGTTTCTGGGCATTACTGACTGCATTAGCATTGCACTGGAGTCTCCTGAAAGGCCACATAACATTGTTACGCGGTGCTACAGCTCCACCCAGCTTCGTGGCACAGAATAGGACCGGTTTAGTATCTAGATCTCCACGTAACAACCAGACTTGGAGGCGATGGGGAAGAATATTTTAGCACATATGTATCTAAAAAAAACCATTCTTCAGTCAAGCAAAGACCTGAAGCTCACAATTATATTTGAACATGCAATTGGTAACTGTTGCATGTTAAATTCATTGTGATTATTCCTGCTCAGAATTGTGTCCTCCAGGCCCCTCCTCAAGCAGTCCAGTGCTTAACTAATGTCAGTGATCTGGGAATGTTTATTATCCTGCTGCTTAACCTAGTCATGCTTTCTTTGAGGGTTGTGTGGATAAATGGTCCAATGTGTCACTTTAAAGGAGGAAGAGATATGGGAAAGCTCCAAGCAACCAGAAATGTCTGCAGAGACCATCCCCCTGTTGAGGAGAGATCTCAGTAAAACCAAGGTACATGTTGTACATTCATCACCTGCAGTTACCTTCTGCTTCCACTGCTCTGGGCTGGAGATGTGACTGACTCCAGGGCAGCTTTCCAGCCCAGAGCAGGAATCTGCCTTTTATTTCCTTCTTTTCTGTCACAGTTCTGCTTTTATGGATGAGAATGAACTGTGGCACCAGCTGCACTAACTCCTGTCCTGGCTGGCACAAAGGCCTCTGGGGTTGTGCATTGTTACCTTTTTCTGCTTATCCCTGAGTGTTTCTGGTACTCTTAGATGCAAAATACAAATCACAAAGAGAGAATATTGATCTTTCTGACTCGTCAAACAGAATCCACTGGCCATAAAATAGTCAAGATCCTTAACATGCCCAAAATCTCATTGCAGGTAATGCAGGAATAGTGTCAAATGTATTTTATTCCTTTGAATAAAGTTTTCTGGTCTGCAGGGGTCGGTCAGTCAAAGAGCACATTAAATGGGGCAGTAGATTCTCGTATTCCACACATCTTTGCCAACCACACAATGAACTCCGTGTTTTCTGCCTTTCAGGAATACACATCTCAGATCAAAAGCCAGATTACTCGAGATTTCTGTTGCATGAAGGAATATGTTGAAAGACAAGAGAGAAACACATTGATGTTCATTGAACAAGAGCAAAAAGCTGCTCAACAGAAGATTGAAGAGACTATTCACCAGCTCACAGAGAGCAAAGCCCAAACTGTAAGTGATGAAATGAGTGGCAGGGTATGAGTGGAAACTCTCAAGCTCAATATCTTGGATAGCTGAGTATGAACAGGGCACTTTGAGGTCCCCACTGTGCTGTTCTCACTGGAGACAGTGATGCCAATCCATGGACATTGCTGTTACAGGGAGAGTTTGGAGTGAGGAATTCAGAGGGAGAATAGTACTAAAAAAGGGCACAGGCTGGGGATGCAATTCCAAACCAGATTCGTTCCAAGGGCCTTGGTGAGCTGGAGTGAAGTGGGGACTACATTGCTTAAATCCAGTCCTCAGTCAAATCTAAAGTTAAGATCCTTCACAACCTTTTTATTTTCCAGAATTTGTTTATACACCCAAGTGTGCAAGTTAAAGAACTCACAGGGTTTTAAGTGTTTTGTAACAACTTTCTTGGGGAAAACACATCAAGGGCCCTCAAAAGAGGCAGTTAAAGCACTTGAGGTTCTGCAGAGCCTGCTTTGATGTTGAAAACAACAGTGCCAGTGATGTAGGTCAGCCAGCAGGAATTTGGAGTGGGGCTCACTCAGTTTTCTGAGGGAAAACAGAGTCTTTTTATTTTTTTAATAAGAATAAACTATCCTTCCCTATTTTCTGTAAGATTTCAGGTCAGTTCTCTCAGGAACTATAAAGGAAACTCTTGATACGAAGGATAAGATTTTTGGAGAGATCACTGCTGTTTTTCCACTCTGCCTTTAGAATATAATCTGGTCTGATAGATGAAATAACTGCTGTTGTTTACATCTTTCTCTCGATCCTTTTGTCATTATCAGAGTAACTTACCTTATGAAGGCTCACTTTCAATAATGAATAAAATTACACTTGATGAGAAGCTTAATGTTGTCAAAAGTGCTGTAGAAGATCTTAAGAGAAAGTTGGAAATGTTACTTTTGGAGAAATACCCTCAGCAATTCCCACCAGGTAAGTTTCCCTTATTTTAAAATGTCTTGTGTTCATTAAATGCACGTGCAAGTAACACAAGAAACATGTGATACTCAGAAAAAAATTAAGAACACTTTAAAGACTTTTGTGACAGAAAATGGTGCATCTGCATAGAAAGATCCAACTGCTTTACCCATCTCACTCTTCTGGCTGCTCCATTCTGACACTCAGGGCAGCAGCGTACAGTGTTTTGTTTATTTTGGGTAAAAATGTTTGCCTACACATCCTTTGATAATTTATACAACCTAAAAAATCAACTCTTTGTTTTGTACTTTAACCAGTAGCTGGGTTTATTTAAGGTGTGTTTTCCTTTAGAAGCATAAACACTTCCTATGTACATTTTGAAGAAATGCCTTAACATTTTTTTTTTTTATTAAGTGCAACCTCCAAACTCGTATCAGGAGACAAGTGTCTGCTCATCACCCCCAGATTCTGCAGCTGAGATTCCAGACCTGGTGATTCCAAGCCAGTTTTCTCAGTGTAAGTATCCAGCAGAGGACTCTTATTGACAACTCTCAGGTGACTCTGAGGCTGTGGATTTGCTGAAGAAAAGCTGTTCTCAGAGCCATGGGCAGGAGATGTGGCTGTGTCCCTGAAGCACAGCAACAGTGAAGTTGCCAGGAACAAATCAGTTACTGAGCACAAAGCAACACTGTACCTGGCTGTGTATACAAGATAAAAAAAAAAGATAAGAAAGCTGTTTTTTGGAGGTGTGTGAGCTGTTTGATGGAGGTGTGTGAACTGGGTGGTGGCTGGTGCTGGCTGCACAGTCTGAGTTTTGTACAGGCAGGTCCTGTACCTCACTGGTCCTTACTGTTAAGCTGTAATGACTCCAGTTATTATCTCAATTCTGCACCATTTTGACAGAAATGTTTTTACAGCCAACACACAGTACTACAGCTGGAGCTTAAAAACAGAAAACAAATGTTTTGCTGATAGAATATGCAGGAACGTGTCCCAGTGAACAGATGACTCTAAGTTTTATTAAGGTAAGCATCCCACTTATTACTGACAGAAAGGTATTTTTTTAAAAAGATTGTGGTTAGGAAGAGGACCCATCCTGTAGGGTGCAAGGTGCCTTCCCACTGGAGTGCCTGAGTCTGCTGTGGATATTTCCCCAGTTGTGCCTGTTAAATGTTTTGGTGAGCCCAGGATGCAGCTGAGAGTGTTGGGTTGAGGATTCCTGCTGACCTGCAGGACTGAGCTTTGATTCAGGTTTATTGTGTGATCGTTGGGTTTCCTTTCTGTTCCACCTTGTTGCCTGCAGGTGAGAGTATTTTCCTTTCTCCCTTCCAGGGGCAGAGGACGTGACTTTTGACCACAGGAGAGCAAACGAGCGCTTGGCCCTCACAGCCCAGAACAGCAGAGTGGTGGTTTCCAGCCACCCCACCTGGTATGAACCAGCTCCCAGGAGATTCTGCATCAGCCAAGTGATGTGTTCCCAGAGCTTCTCCACGGGGTGCCACTACTGGGAGGTGCTTACCAGGGACAGTGATGGATGGGCTGTTGGAGTCGCTCACGAAATGATTGGGAAGAGGGACAAATTGGGAAGAACAGAGCATTCCTGGTGCGTGGAATGGCTGGGTTCCAAAAAGCAGCTGTCAGCCTGGCACAAGGATCAAGAAACATTGTTACACAAGGATAAACCGCTGAGGGTTGGGGTTTTCCTGGAGCTACAAAAGCAGACAGTGTCCTTTTACTCCATCACTGACAGGGAAATGCTCTTGCACACCTTTGAACTCAGCACCTCCCATCCTCTCTATCCTGCCTTCTGGCTGTACAGCCTGGAAAGAAATGGATCTTTAACTCTAAGCCACCCAAACAGGAGATAAAGCCTATTCAGAAAAGGGACCATTTTGCCAATGACTGCAGAGTTTCTATCCAAGCTTCAGTGTTTAGCACAGGAATTTACAAAGGAATGCATAGCTACCCAGGATTTCCTGGGAATCAGCAGCTGGTTTTTGCCTGCTCTGCTGCTCTCCATGCTGTGCTCTGGTCCAGCCATACCTCAGTAAAGCAATTCCAGTGTCTGCTGAAGGCAGGAACCATCCCTGTGGAGATCAGGTGGATTTCTTAAGCAGCTTTAAGTAGCCCCAGGATATTCCTGGGAAGGAATGCACCAAGGAAGCTCTAAGGCTGGGGATAAGCCTTGCTCATGGACCTTATTTTTCCTACATTGATCTAAAAAAATACAGAACAGATGATGCCATTACTTTCTGTCAAGTGAGCTTGCTTTGGAAAGATCTGAGTGAGTAAGGAATGCTCAGAGGGCAAGAATGTTACTGGTCTCAGGCATGAAATCTTTCTCTTTAGATACTAAACTACAGGAAATAGGCTTTGTATTTGAGGACCTGCCACTTTGGGTCCCAGAAGATCATCTCACTGGCACTGTATTTTAGTCTTGCCCCCACCAAAGGGTTTTTTTCAGTCCTGGTGATGGTGTGATGACAGGAATGGTTGTGGAAGCAGATGCTCAGAGGTGTTTATACCAGCTAATAAATCATGCAGTCACTTTATTGCTCTTTTAAGGGGCCAGCAAACATGACTGTGTCATGGAAAGGACCATCTTTTCTTGCCAGGGAGCCTGAGACAAGGCAAGAGGTTCTCAGTTGTCCCTGTGGGGTCCTGGAAAACCTACTGACAGCTGGATTTCTGAGACATCCACTGCTTCATGCAGGCAAGCTGAAAACAGCATTCTCAAGAAGCAAAAGCTCTTTTAGGGAGACAGGAGCATTCCAGAATGAACAAAATGAGTAGTTTAATGTGAAATAAAGCATATGGGATTCAACTGTCTCATTTAGTGGAATGGGGAGCTCCATTGCTTTTAAAGCCCTTGACAGAGGGTTGAGGGTTACTCTGTGCTGTCACTGAACACTCTGAGAGCACTTTGGGCAGAATGCACATTGGTGAGATCCCAAAGGCACGTGTATCAGCTTTTCCAGGGCTGGGGCAGCTCTCCCAGTGTAGCTAATGCCACTGCCTCATTAGGGTTGAGATGTCCTCTCCTGGTCCACCTGGAAAAGCAACAGTGACAGTGTGAACTCACTGGGCATCTCTAATTTCCCACGTACAAGTTGCACTGCACTGCCCAGGGGCCGCAATTTGTTACGGTTTGGATCCCAACAACACATGTAATAACACACATAACAACACACAGCTTGGATGGGAGCACTTTGTGTGACTCCCGGGACATCAGGAAGGATTTTTTCATCAAAAGGGTGATGAGACATTGGAAGGGGCTGCCCAGGGAGGACAGTGCAGTCACTGTCCCTGGAGGTGCTCAAGGACAGAGACTGGACATGACTCCAAGTGCCAAGGTCTGGTTGACAGGATTGGACCCAATGATCCCAGAGGGCTTTTCCAGCTGAACTGGTGCTACAGTTCTGTGATTCCTGATGTGCTCCGAGCGCTGGGCTGTCCCTCACAGCACCCGGGACCCTCATCTCTCTGAGGGCACCGAGCGAGGGCAGCGCTGCTTTATCAGACTTCTTTATCACTGTATTCTGTGGTATGAAGGCCCACGGCCTCTGGGGTTTGTTTGGTTGTTTTTTTTTTTTTTAAAGGATATGTTTTTACCCTGTGTGAGGTGTCACAGTTCAGAGAACAACCTGTCATCTGCAGGAAATCTCTTTAGAAAATTAAAAGTGAGCACGGCTGTTTGCTGGGCTGTTTTACTGAACAAACACTGCCAGCTGCACCAAGAGCATTTTACGAGACACTTGTCACCTTGTGAACCTAAGTTCACAAAGACAACAGGAAATCCGACTGCAGAGTGACAGGGAGAAGTGGTTGGAGTTTCTTCCGCCTCACAGCAGATTCCTGCACCAACACAGGGCATCTTCCCCTCTCTGAGGGCACAGACCGGGGGCAACCAGCACACGGACCATGCACCTCCCTGAGGGCACAGACCGAGCCGGGGCAGCGCTGCCCCGGGAGGAACCAGCACACGGAGCCCCCACAGACCGAGCCAGGGAGCGCTGCCCCGGGAGGAACCAGCACACAGAACCCGCACAGCCCCCGCCGGGTGCAAAAAAACGACCGTGACGCAGCCCCGGCCAGACGAGCCGCCTCTCGCCTGCCCCAGCCGGTCCCCGCGGCGCCCTGAGGGGCGGACCGCCCCCGCCGCCGCGCAGCCGCCGCGCAGCCGCCGCCGCCGGTCCTCGCGAGCGCCGTAGCTCGGTGAGGTGGCAGCCGGGCAGCCTGAGGCCCAGCCGGCGCCGCCGCCCGCCCGAGTGAGCGGCCCAGGTCGAGGCACACGAGCGCGGACATGAAAGAAGGACGTCATGCGGTCCTGTGGGGGAGAGACGATGAGTGAGGCAGCGGCCCGGGCGGGGCGGGGGCCGCCGGCCGGGCTGTCACATCAGTGCCGCGGGGCTCAGCACGGCCGGGCGCTGCGGGGCAGACGCAGCCGCCGGCCCTGAGGGGCGGGCGGGGGTCGGGGCTCCGGGACCGCTCGGAGCTGTCCCTCGGCTCCCCGAGCCGGGCAGTTCGCGGAGCTGTGCGGCTTGGACGCCCCAGGAGATGACACCGGGGGGAAGAGGTTCCTGACCGGCGTTTGGCAAGAATTTGGCCTGTTCAAAGTTATTTTCCTTTTTTTTTTTCCGCTTTTCCCCTTTATTTTTCCCTTTTCTTCTCTCTTTTTTCCTTCCCCGCCCCCCTTTTTTTCTCCTTTTCTTTTTTTTTTTTTTCCCCCTGATGAAAACCCAACTCGCATCTTTCCTGTTTACTGCCTTTGGAAATCAGTGGCCTGACATTCTCCAGCCGGTTATATATATATGTATATATATATACGCTGTGGATTTGTGCCCAGGGACCCCACATCCCCTTTTCCTGCCTTCCCCGCACTGTATGACCTTGGATAAACAGCACGAACGTGTGCATGCCGGAGGCACCGTGGGGCCGGGTTTTCTCGTGTGCTCCCAAAATCACGTCCTTAAGTTCTCACTGAGGTGCCCAAATCACCGGCAAGGCTTGCGGAGACACGGCTGCTCACCGGTGCTCACGGCAGCCAGGAGGTTCTGCTCCGGTAGTTTGCAAAGTGAGCTTAAGTTCCTCACGGGGAAAGAATAGAGAGTAATTACCAAGTGTTATTAGTAAAATTGGCTAATTATGCTGAGAATGTGGTGCTGCTGACAAAGCTTTCCTAAGTACTGAATGCCCCATATATATATATATTTATAGTGCAGTTTTTGCAGTTTTATAGTGCAGGGTGGCTCTGTCTGTGCTGCCTGGAAAGATTCTCTGTGGCTTCTCCAGAGAGGAATCTTCAGGGAGCTGCCACTGTGCAGAAGGAGCTCACTCACTGAGATTGCACTTGGTTAGTTTTACGTGACTCTTTTAGGAACGTATTTGTGCATTTGAATACACAGTTTAATTCCTCTTTAGAATATGTGCCTAATTTACCTCATTTACCTGGGTGCTGAACTGGTTCCGTGCAGTGGTTTCAGCACAGGTGTAACAGGTGCTTTGTTTTGACAGCAACGAATCCAACTGGGAATTTAAAATGTAAATTTAAATATAGCAATGGCACACATCAGAGATTGTGAGCGTCTCTGTATTGTGTTTTTGGTGGACTTGCAGCAAACAGAAGGGAGAGATTTGTTTCACAAATCAGTAGAACTTGTCAGTTATAGTGTCAGGGCTGCTTTGTATCCTTGTCTCATGTATATTTGTTAGTCTGAAACCACAAGTTAGTCCAGACCATCTAAAACTTGTTAGGTGGTAACAGCAGACCATCAGGTTCAGGATCTGAAATGTGTGAAGAACTCTTATTGTAAGCCTGTTCCAAAACAGCCTTTTCATGCCTTGTCTTCTACAGTTTAGGTCTAAGGTTGTTTTAGTCCTTGTATCCAGGGTGAAAACATCAATTTTTAATAGCCAGTAATTTTCAGAATATGTTCAGCATGTTGTTTTATGCAGCATGATCTAATAAACTTATATATGAGGAAAAAGACGATTTAGTTACCCTGAGGTGCTGTATTTCCTTCATCCCAGTCAGCTGGTACTGTTTGGGCTGTTATTCCTGAGACTGTAAACAGACTGGGAAAGGCAGAGGGCTGACCTAGATTCAAAGAAAATAAACCAAATCTCTGCACTTCAACCTATGGATTTTCATAAAACTCTGGGACACTGGGAAGTGTATCAGGAGCTTATAAACACTGAGCATTTACTAACCAGCAACATATAATCTTCTATTTTCAGTCCTGTGAAGTGAGTTTCTCTATCTGCAAAGCCAATGTGTTTTAGGTTAGAACTGTCTTGGTCAGGTGCAAAATGCACAGCACTATTTTCACTGATTGTCTGATAACTTTACTTACCTTCTTTCCTATGCAAACAGGAGAGCTTCCAAAGCTCTTTTGATTCTATCAGGATGAAATTTAAGATGCAGCTGATGCAGGAGGGCACCTGGCAGTGTAAGTTAGAATTTTAGCTCATAGGAGTATCTTTGATGCAAACACCCCCACGTTGCTGGTAGGAAACCTGCAACTTGCTGCTCTCCAGGTAGTACCACTAGGGAAAAGTTCATGGCAGTTCTCCCTAAGGAAAGCAGAAATCTTCCTCCCCAGAGTAACTTTTCTTTGCTTTTCATATTTTTGTAACAACTACTCTTTAACTTACCACACTGAAGAGAAGGTTTTATTTCTGGAGGTCAGAAGGCCCTTTGTTACTGTACCAAAAATAGATTTGGATAAGTTGGGTGGAGTCTGATTAGATCATCAGTTCAGTAATACCATTTCCTGCACAAAATCAACCAGTTGTACAATTCCATCTCTTCTTTCATATTCAGAATTATATACAATTACACAGAGCAGTGTAAATGCAGTGAGAGCAGCCAAACAACTTGTGTGTCTTGGTGACATTTCTGTTGGTTTTGGTGGGAACAGTGACACAGGCTCTGGCTGATACTGAGCAGTGCCTGGCTTGGTAACACACAGGTGCTGGCACAGAGGCTGGTACAGCCAGAATCAAACAGGTTTTTCCCTGAACTGAGAGCTGTTGGAAATATCCAATCCCAGCTAACATTTGAATCTGAGCATATTATTTTTTAATGTCTCAAAACCAAATAAAGCAGTAATAGTGTTTCAAGGCTTCCAGAGGAATAGGGAGTTCACAGCTGGAGGGTTTTTCAGAGAGGAGAACCCTGAGAAAAGTTACCAACTCTTCATTTTCAGTGGTCACATTAAAGCTTCTCAAACCCGAGCAGCTCAACTGTGATATCAGAAGTCTGAACCTTGCAGGTAACAAAGTCATTTATTTGATGGAATAGAGCTGGATATTGAAGCAGAGATGGTCATCTGGGAATAAGCAAGCTGTGACTTTAGAAGTGTTGGTGGTTTGGGGGTTTCTTTTCACTTTTTTGGGGGGCCAGCTCATTTGTGTCAAGGAGATTATGCTCTTGCACTTCCAAATAGTCAAACTCTTGGAGACTTTGTCCATTGACAGCAGAGCTGTGTCTTTTTGTCCAGTTCTCATCCTTGGTAGTTTAGGACTGGAGCACAGTCATCATATCAAGAATGCTATAAAAATAGTTAATTTCTAAATTATTTTCTGTGTGCCACCTTTGTTTCTGTTTCTGAAGTTGCATTGAAGCGTTTCTAGTTTGTTTTGTTTATTTGTTTGCTGTCACCCATGTTTAGTGTGATGAAACAACAGAGAAAAAGCCTTTAATGTGGTCAGTTGGAAAATGTTTTTAAAATCTTCCCATTTCAAGATGGGATACAACTACTGAGTGTAACAAAACCAATTATC